TAAATTCAGCAGAAAGCTGCTCATTACATTTAAGGAGCAGAGAATGAATTGTTTAATCCCCCTTTATTACATCTAAAGGCCATAATCTCAATTACATATGCATACATAGTGTATATAATCCCACCTGAGTAAGTGTGAACTGGACACTGCCCCTTGCCCAGCCTGGTGCCTCTGGATCCACCCGGTCTAAAGCTGAGGCAGGAATGTTTGTTCCCAGGGCAATTTTGTCTGTGGAAAACATAATTACAGCACAGAGAAATTGGAATCTGCCGTCTTTTTCTGTCTGGGCCTCCTGGGCTGCAACGACAGAGCCATGCGGTAGGCTTCTGAGAACAGTTTCATGGAATAACAGAAGAAAACAACCAGAGCTGCCAGAAAACCACTATTCTTCAAAAGATAAGATGACTTAATGGCAATTCCCAGCCAGCCAGCTCTCACTCCTAAGTTTGACTGAGAGTTAGCCCTCCAGAGCTCTAAGAAAGCCTGGGAAAGGCAGATTCTGACCTGTATAGTGCTATGAATACGTTTGGTTTGGGATGTGTGGCAGTTGGTGGAGCTGCCTGTTTTAAGCACTTGGATTTTCCTAATTATAGGCTGTTAATAATGGATGTATTATTAAAACTCTGCCTACTGGATAATATATACTAATTCTAAAGGCAAATGTTGAAAAATCAACAGTGTCATCAGGCTTTTCCTTCTTTCTGAGAGCTCTTTCGAGTCTGCAATTCTTTAATGCTCTTTGAATATTTTTGAGTCTGTTCTTGTAGCCTGTGCAAGCAGTATGGATGGTAAATTTATGGCATCAAATGAACTTGATTAGATTTAAAAAAGGAAGAAGGAATATTGCAGTCAAGTAAGAAGGGATGAAATGGAATTGATTGGCAAGAAACGCATATGCTGGGGACAAAGCTGTGATTTCTGGTAAAAGCATTTTTTGAGAAGTGCTTTCAGAGGCAGAAACAAAAATATCGTTCGGTTTCCAGCAGATTAGGGAGTAATGATGATGGAAGCCAGGAGAAACTTTTGAGGCTGAATAAGGAAAGTCAAGGAATTCAAGGACAATAGAGAAGTATGTGGCGGGTGAGTGCTCTGATTAAAAGGTCAGACTCTGTTGGGTGCTCAGAAAAGGTCTCTCTCAGGGCTGTGCAGAATTGCCAAACCTGATCTTCCTCATTAAATCCTTGACCAGAGGTTGGACTGGTTGTCGGGTCCAAAGCCAGTTTATTTGGGCCACACCTTTCCTTCAGCCCAGTCTGCATGTTACTGTGGTGCCAGACATTCATGTCCAGCAGTGAGATGTCATCACGGTTTGGGAAACGACTCCAGGGAAGCTGGAGGATGGACCAGTTCTGGCATTGTGGCTCAAGCTAAGCTCCCACGCTTGTCAGTAGGAATCTCTTCCTTTTCTAGACTGCTTGGCATAGCTGGGTAAGGAAGTTTAGGAGGATTTATCTCCCCCCTCTCCACCCCAATCCCCAAAAAGGGGATATTGAGATGCATTATTATTTTCATGCTCCTCTAAATCACTCAAGGCTTTCTGGAGCTATGGAAATGTCTTGAGTCTGTATCTGTTTTTTACTGGAAGTGTTTGCATTCCTCAAACTACAGTGAAATTTCTTTCTGTGCAGACAAGGCACAGACCTCATCGAAATCGCATTGAGGCTCTGATCTGAGAACATCCGCCCCTTTGACTCTCCCTGGTTCCCAGTAGCAGGGTAGGCTTCCCACTGGGGCTGCGTAGGGCGAACTTGAAAGTTGATCCTTGGGTTTTGCCGTTGGATGTCCTTGGCAGCAGTCAGCTACCTGCACGGCAGTTCTGGAGGCTGTGCTCAGGGAGAGGTCTGGCTTTTGGAGCCTTTGCAAACCTTTGCCAGGAAAATACAGGTTAGCAGAGTGTTTTCTAGTCATCTAAAGGGGATGTCACTTGATACGTTCTCTTATGTTCCCTTTCTGTTTGAAACCTAAAGCTGAAAGTCCCAGAGGATAAAACTGTTGATTATAGATTAGGAAAAAAAATAAAACAAACGGAAGAGCTGAGAGACAGACCCTGGCTTTCGGAGATGCTAGGCACAAAGAGGACCATACAGCCACGCTTTCCCGCATGCGGTAGCCTCCCGTTTCTCTCACCCTCTCAACAGTCATGTGGAAGTGATGGAATTTGAAGACTTCAGACATTTGTCTGGACTCTCTGAATATTTCACGGTCTGGTCAAAGGGGCAGCTCTTATTTCCAGACATCTTGCCTCTCAGTGAGACGCTGTCACCGAGAATGCAGCTGCGTTGTACGTGTGCAAAGCTTTCTGGCCAGGGAGAGCTGGATGGAGGTGTGGGAACCTGTGCTAGATCAGCAACCGGTGACCTACCGAAGGTCTCTGATACCAGAGACTCTGTACTTGCCTTCCCCAGGATTTTGGGCTCTCTGAGCTTCCCTGGGACACCCCGTAAGATTGCCTGCTAAAGCAAGTCTCACGGGTGATCGTTTGGTAGCAGTTAGACCTCACGGTCTGTGAAGCAGATGGGTCAGGTGCTGCAGACTGTGCAACCGATTGGAATCCGAAGAATTTTGGCTAATATTTACAGCAGGTGTTTACCCTGCGATAAGAAATGGGTCGTTGACAAACATGTACCTGCCACAATATTGGTCGGCTCGTCACGGTGTTGGCTTTGCGTTTCACACACTGACCGTCCTCGTTGCTTGGAGAACGGTTCTGTATTGTAGTCTGATACGGATTAATGCCTGTGGTTTTCCCCTTTATTTCCATGGAGCCATTTCTGGTGTCATCATAAAAATGTGAGACAAAAGTTCTTTGCTGACCTCACTGTAAATCATTAACAGGTAGCTTGAAATAGTGGGGAAAAAGAGATTTTGGGAAACACTGGAATAGGAAACCAAGAGAGTGCTTTCACTGATACACATAAACCAAAGCCCAACTGTTATTTAAGTTCTAAACAACTGTGAAAAGCTAGAGCCAAATTCTCGTTGTAAATCAGGGTAGTTCCATTAACCTCAGTGGAACGGGGCCAGCACGTCCCAGACAAAGACTTGGCCCGGTCTATTAATAGTAACAGTTGAGCAGTGGAGCTGCTGGAGAAGTTCCACTGGAGCAAAATTTTGATTAAAGAAATGCAGATAAGAATGGCAGAGGAATCTGCCTTATGGTTTCCTCATGGAATGTTGCTCCCACAAGGTCTGACCCTGTGCACCTCCCACCACCTCGAGATCCCTGTGAGCTTGCGCAGCTCGGCGAGAGCCAGCGGCCGCGGTGGCAATCCAGGTTTTTGGGTTCAGCATACTCGTTTAGACAGCGTGACAGCAGCATGGTGGCCACTGTGGTACAGTCTGATTCTGCATCTAGTGTCAGTGCAGTCGTCCTCTCAGCTGCTTTTCTTCCTCTGTAGCTTCAGAAAATCCAAGGTTTTCTTTTCACCAGATATGTAAGGTTTTTATTTCTTTGAATTCTTCAATATGCCATGGTGAAAAGGATGGGGGGTGTTGTCAGCAGACATTGATGCGTCACGTTTCCTGTGTGACAACGTTATTCAGGGATAGACAATTAAATTTCACAGCTGCATTTTAGATCATCTGTAAGGAGAGAGACAGAACTTCTCCAGGCGTCCTTGAGTCCGTTTCTTACTGAAATTGCAATAAAAGCCCAGCAGAAATTCCCACTGAGTGGTGTTATGCTGTTTTCATTTCCCAGAAACTAGTTAATTTATTCACTGTGCCCCACCAGTCCAAGTTCCCTTTATAGATTAACTTGTGTATTTTGGCTCCTATCCCTCTCTTCCTTTGGCTCAAAATGAATGATACCAGGACTGTCTTTGAAACAAAGCAGGA